GTCGAGTCGGTTACACCTATTTACATATGTCCAACGAATTCCACCCTTTAATTGATGCGTTAAACAAATCTCGACCTTACACATTTGATTGAAAGCACATTTTTATATACACATATAAGTTTTACTGCTCTGGATTCATGTCTTTTGAGCCTATAGAAGGCACACGAAAGATAACATTGCCAGTTGAAAAAAAACGTTAATTGACAAATAAACAGGTTCACGTTTGTTTATTGAACATGTAAATATATATCTTTACTCAGTATTTATAGTTTAAAGTGATTAACATGTTCTTGTAACTGGACATCCGATGTCTTTTATGTACTAGATTCCGGGTTCAAAGGGTTTTTTAAACACGTCTTTCGGGGGGAATGGGATTGTTAGTAATGGAGATTGAGAATCCCATTGCTAGCAATATATCCAACCAGGTCGACCTCGCGGTTCCCCCTGGAAACTATCATGGTTAACTCCTGATGAATTCATCATGATGTGCTAACTGGCCTGTTTTCATTCTCATCTATCACCCTTCACTGGTGCTCCGCCAGTGTATCCCGTTAGCGCAGGCGGGGTTACCATACCATTTTCACAAAAAAAAAAACACGTCTCTTTCTTTATGCAACTCAGAATGGCAAACAAGCTGGCGGCCTTCCTGAAGTATTCTAATATGTGAACACACTTAGAGAGATGGATTCCCTTTCGTTTTTCAACCGTGAAGCAGTTGTGTTTGCATGGCTGTGTTTCGGTTTGAAGGGTGGGATATGGCGTGAATTTACAGGGTAGAGAGAAATAACACCTGAGTCCTCAGAAATGGCAACGCATGGGGGGTATCATGGATGAAACAGTATATTCTGTTATGTCCATAGTACCGCTCGTGTCTATAGGCGACGGTTACCACTTTCCATCAAGTGGGCCGTCAGCTTGTTTGCCATTCTAAGTTGTATAAAAAAACATAGATACTCTTTATTGTTTCCTCCAATTAATTCCTCCAAAATATTGATGTAATAAAATTGTAACTAACTTGACGGTACCCTCCATGCATTGCCATTCCTGAGGAGTACTTCTTGTACCCTGTAAATTCACTGTCATATCTCATCCTTCAAACCGAAACACAGTCATGCAAATACAACTGCTTCACGGTAGAAACACGAATGGGACAGAGGAACCCAAGCAAACGATTTTTCAACAGTCGCCCCTCTAGTAACAGTACTTTGTCTGTTACTTTGATTTAAAAACGAAACTACGTATTAAATTTCTAAGGGAACACTCCTTTTAAATAAAAAAAAAAAGGATATTTCCACGTCGGTTTAGAAATGACTCAATTCTGAGGTAACATAAGAAAAAAAAATCTAATTTGATAATTCTTCCTTTTTTGAAGTCGGTTAAAAACTGTATCCGTTCACAATAGGTATTAATATTTCTCGCTTTTATACTTTTCTAAATTATTGTATCTTTAAAATGCGCCTGATGAAAATGTCTTATCAATTGTTCGTTTAAACGTTACATTATCTATGACTCTATGGATTAAGAATATTGTATCAAATAAACTATTTAATTTTACAACTCAAACAAGTCAAAACTCTCAACAATTGTTCCTCACAGTGTGCCCCCCTTTATACCGTTAACTGCATAAAAACACACCCTTGGCCCGTGATAAGACGTGGTGCAAGCAATGCGGCTATTGCCCCCGACGGTAAGAGGGTAACCGATGAATGGAATGGCCCGTAAGCCACGTAACCGTCGCAAAAAAAAAAATGTCTTTAGCAATAGTAAATTGGACAATTTCTAATCTTTTCAACGCCGAAAAATTTTTTGTTTTCAACAGTTAATCACTCACTTTTTTTTAATAGATGTATTCGTAGTTTTTTTTTTTTTTTAATATAGTCGAAGTAAGAGTTTAATTTTTTTTATATGTGTAATATTAACAAAATATTATGTAATTTCTGAACTATTTTTTGTAAATAAAAAAAAGAACAATTTCCTTATAAACCGTTAAAAGTCATAACCGTTATAAATATTTATTCATGCAATGAGAACGCCCTATCTCTGCGTTGTTATTGTGATGAATATTGATCAACTAACCGATTTACTCTATTTATCTATTGTAAAGACATGCACATAATAATGTTAAACGATTTGGCAGTTTGATCTATATATTCGATTAGGGGTATTTAGAATTTTAAGGCATAAGACATTATAGACTACTGTGAATACATAGTAACAGTTGTTTAAATACTATTACACAAAAATATGTAAATAAACATAATTGTTATAGGTGAAATTCTAATTAAATTTAAAAATAAATCATAAGTATTTAACTATTTGTACTCGTACTGTAAATTATAATTTCAACTTAACATTTAACCATTTTTTATTATACTTTTCATATTTAAATTGTCAAGAAATGGTAATTAAGTTAATAAGTGAGGTTAATAATTAATTTCCGAACGCAACCTCTTTTGACAGTGAAGTAAATAAAAAAAAAAAAACAAAGCGCGGCAAACAGAAATAGCTCGTTGTCTGTGGTGTATGTATTGCAGTTTTGTAAGATTTTTGCACATAAATTTCTTAATCTACCTTAAAAATTGAAAACATAGTGACTGTGACACGATTCAATCAAATGTTATTTCTCTCTAGTGTTTCACGTGAGAAAATGTATCTAACATAGAAGTGAAACTCTCATAACCTACGTTAAAAATACTTTTATTATTGGTGAACTTTATTAACAATGCGCGCTGTCTCAATAAAAGGTTGGTAGGTGCATGGAACCAGTTTATTCTTAAAAACCAATATGTTTTATTCGACTCTCGCAGGAAAACAATAATATTTCTACCCTTGCCTTCTTTTGTCATCGCGCCAGTGTCGGAAAGGGTTTTGTCACTTCTGATTCGTGTTTTTGTAACTTTATTAAACTACTACGTTAAGGGATGTTACCTAATAATTTTATACGATTTTTGCTATATTAATAAATGATGTATATATTTAGGAAATACTAATAAAAAAAAAAGAAATTAGTTTTAATTTTTTTTTTCTAATTTTAAATAAATATCTATTTTTAGATTATATAGATAAAGCCTCGAACGTCAAAAACGGGTCAACTTTTTGTCAGCTAATTGTCGAATTAGCTGACTTTTTTTTATCACTGTTCTATATACTTATGCATAAAATGTATCTTGACTTTTATATTACCTATATTTAATAAATAAAATGATTAATTACGCATTAAAAAGATGCAGAAATTATAAGACAAAATAAATATAGAAGTTATATCATAACTATTTATCACACAGAATTGTATGAAAAAATTGATCCACTTTTCTAGAAGCATTTGTATGGAGAGACACTCTATGTATATAATCTAAGTACCTATACTATAATTTAAATACAACAAAATTGTTATATATAAATTAGAATATTGGTGTCCACGGTACTGCTCACGTCTATAGGCGACAGTTACCACTTTCCATCAGGTGGGCCGTCAGCTTGTTTGCCATTCTAAGTTGTATAAAAAAAATACATGATTATATTTCTGTTTGTACTTAAATTACTTATCATGCAGACTTAATACCTTAGTTGGGGAAAAGGGATTATTAGTAATGGGGTCTAAGAGCCCCATTGCTCCCAATATACCTTATCCGGTCGACCTCCACATGTTTCCCCCTGGAAACCATGGTTAATTCTTGTGAAATCATCATGACCTGCTCACATCTTCACCTATCAACCTATCATCACTCACTGGTGCCGTGTTAGCAGATACAGATAATGCACCAGCATTATCTATGTAGAATGGTAACCATTCCATTCTCATCCATAAAAAAAAATACCTTATTTGAGAAATAACAACTCAAAATCCCTTATGTTACAGAAAAATAAATATTGTCTATGGCATTCCTACCATCATCATCATCATCATCATCTTCTTCTTCTTCTTCTTCTTCTTCTTCTTCTTCTTCTTCCTACCCTTATCCCAATCATTTGGAGTTGGCATAATATGATTTTATCCATATTACAAAAAGATTTGGTTTTTAGTTTTAAGACCGGCCACCTGCCTGACGTCAACCCTCTTTGGGAATGGGATTCCTACCATGGACAATATTTTTTTTTATACCACTGAGGTGGCAAACAAGCATACGACCCATCTGATGGTAAGTGGTTACCGTAGCCTATATACATATCTGTTTTGTTTGGTGTTCCATAAGTGAATTGGATATATGTTGGGGAAGTCACCGAATAAATATACTTGATATGTACAATTGCAATTATAGTTAAATTATTTACTACATTGAGCTCTATTCTCAGGTGGTATTTCTTTAAAACTATATCTAAAATAAAAAAAAAAAAACATTTTGATACCATAGTGGAATCTTTAAGGACCAATATGAACTAAATGTCGAATATTTTTAAGCCAAAATTGTATTATATATTTAGTTTGTGACGATCTATGAAACAGTAATATGAAATAAAATGCATATTAGCTGAAGAGATAGATTGTGACCGGTCATATTGCTAGCAATATATCCTATCAGGTTGATCTCCATGTGGTCCTTCCAATCTGAACACCATCATGCTGTATTTCTGGTGTATTCATCATGATGGACTAACTGATCTGCCTTTTCATCCTTATCCATCCCTCACTGGTGTCCTTTTTTTTTTTAACGTCTGGAAAATGCTTTATACAGACCCATACATCTTGTGGGAGGTGAATGGGTACTGTGGGAATCCCCCCGTAAGGTGGGAGTGTACCCATCAAAAACCAGACAATATACCCTCGAGGTGCCATATGTCAGAGACATGGGTTCGCTTTCGCACTCACCACATTTCCTATGGTCCTCACTGGTGCCCTGCCTGTATATATCAATAGTGCAGGTTGGGTTACCATTCCATCATCACCTTTAACAACTAGTCAGCCTTTGTTAATCTTTTGCCTTTGGTATCTTCCCTCCTCAGCATAGTAGAAATTGGTGAAAAATACTGGAAATTAATAACACAATTTTCTATCTTTACAGATTGATCACAGAAAACTTCAGGATCAACTCGGGGAATAGTGCAACGAAACGGAAACAGGATGAGGCTCTCACAACGAACTTCAAGATTAAGATGAGTCCGCATTCGTTGAAGTTCAACTCGCCCACACACTCACCGATAGCGTCAGCATCCAAACGGAGAGTCCTCGGTGAACTGCAAAACTCACCGTTGTTCAGGCCAAAGGTATCACCGGTTATAGAACGGTTAATGACCACACCGGTGATGGAAAGGGTATCACCGATGAAGGATAGGACATCACCGGTAATGGACAGGAATGCTTGTTCGCCACTGACAAGTAGAGTAGTCAAACGGAGTTCGACGAAGATATCCAGGATATTTGAAGAACGTACAAGGTTCAAGATGGACAAAGAGAACATAGGGCTGATGAGTGAGACCTTCGTGAAACTGGACGTCGAAGAGGAGACAAGGGACTGTACGTTTACTGAAAGTTTCCAATCGACCAAAACTAGCTGGTCGTCCACTAAGGTAGGTCTATTTTTTTTTTTATGCATGACAATAGTAGGTTAACCCTGCATGCGCATGAGTTGGAGGAGAACCAGTGAAAGATGGTAAATGAAGACGAGCTAGAATAAAGGCTAATTGGCCAGTTAGCCCTTCATCACCATGAATTTACTATGGTTTCCAAAGGCAACCATGAAGTGGTCACAAAGCAACAGAATAAATAAGTATGTGAGCCTATTCTTCCTTTTTTAACTGACTTAAAAAGGAGATTCGGAATTTAATTGTATTTTTTTATGTTTATTATTTATTTATTTATATGTATATTACCATAACTTTTTTTTATACAACTTAGAATGGCAAACAAGCTGACGGCCCACCTGATGGAAAGTGGTAACCGTCGCCTATGGACATGAGCAGTACCATGGACATAACAGAGTATACTGTTTCGCCCATGATACCCCCCATGCGTTGCCATTCCTGAGGACTCAGGTGTTATTCCTCTGTACCCAGTAAATTCACGCCATATCGCACCCTTCAAACCGAAACACAGCCATGCAAACACAACTGCTTCACGGTTGAAACACGAATGGGACAGAGGTACCCAAGCAATCGACCTTTGTACAAAGCCTCCCTCTGGTATCTCCATCAGTTGTTTATGGGATAATAATTTTTAAAACAAAATAACTAATTTTGTCATTATTCATAAGCAGGGTGCGTGTTATCTCAAACTTATCCTTAGAGAAGTACTCTCTAAGGGTCCTCTTTCATTTAATTTTGCTTATTAAACTAATTATCATCATCATCATCATCGATATCAGCCGTTAACTGTCAACCGCTGGACATACTACCTAGCCTACCTATAGGCCTTAAGTAGTTACCGTACTCGGCAAGGGACTGTGCAACCGCAGTTAGTCTTTGGTGATGTCTTAACAGAAATGTAAATGTCCTTCCTTTACATTTCTTTATTTCATTACATTTGACACCAAGAGGAAAGAAAGAGATGATCCATTCTACGCCGGGACCAGACGGGTAGTATGACACTATTGTAATATTAAAAATGTTTTATTTCACCTCCCCAGCTGGACTTCACTGACGCAATTCCATCAAAATCCTACGAGATGGAGAAAGAAATTAAGGAAGACATTTTTGTGCCAGAAAAGGACGCAGACCTCGACTCGGACTTCCAGACGCTTCACGATCTAGAAGAAGAATTTGACTCTGACAACTTTGACCAGTGCACCAAGTATGAAATAATCTCGACGGACAGTCCAAACATAATATCAAGGGGTCGCACCACTACATCGAGGAAAATCAACTCCAGAAACTTCACATTCGGAGCTCCTCTGGTCGACAGCGAACAGTCCACCTCGTTCAATCGTCCGAACGCTACTGCCACCAGGATGTTGAACTTCGAGGATGAATCCTTTGAATTCACATCACCGGCCGTCAAGCACTCCGCAACCGGCAGCCTCTCTGTCAAGAAATCCCTCAAGTTCACAGAGACACCGACGAAGAATCCTCTACGGCACGAGCCGAGCGACTCCAGCATCGGTTCCATGAGCTCCGTCTCATCTCCAGCCTCGAGTCGACTCAGGATCTTCACGTCCGAGTCTACCACTTCTATGGAGAGTGGTTTTATATCAGAACTAGAGGAGCCGTTCCTCGACATCGAGGAAGCATCGAATTCACCAAAAATGGCCAACTTTAGCGATTTACTCTCCGGACAGATCAAAGATAGTATATTAACAGAAAAAGATTTCCAAAGGCGACCGTTACAAAGGAGTTTAAGCCTCAATCCGGAGAGTAAGGCTCGAGTTTCTTTATACTCCATATTGGAGAACCCGGAGAAGAGATCGCAGAAGCGCTTGGAGAACACCGACGTGGAGAACGTGGTGAATAAACGGCGCAGGACCAACGCCAATATCGAGAGGGTGCAGCGGCCGGTTCTACAGAGGGCATTCTCGGAGAATAACGCTTCAATTATGTCAGCTTTGGCGAGATGTGAGTATAGTTCTTTGTTTTTTAATCATAGTTGTAAAAAAACATGGCCTATCTGATAATGGACTTGTTTAGGCCACTTGGAATGGCAAACAAGCTGACGGCCTGTGTTGGAAAGTGATAACCGTCGCCTATAGATATGAACAGTAATATGGACATAACAGAGTTTACTGTTTCGCCCATGATATCCCCCATGCGTTGCCATTCCTGAGGACTCAGGTGTTATGCCTCTATACCCTGTAATTTCACTGACTTCATTTCATATCAAACCTGCCATTATCTTTGCCTACCCTAATGGAAGACAGGCGTGATAGATATGTATTTATGTACCTATCAAACCTGCCATTCAAACCGAAACAGTCATGCGAGCACAGCTGCTTCACGGCAGAACACGAGTGGGACAGAGGTATCCAAGCAGTAATACACGTAGTTTCTCTATGGAAAATATGTGGTCAATCCCCATTAGGGTTTGAACCCTAATATTTATGTTTACAAGTATGTTTTGTATTGGCCTGAGTGTTTTCCTATGTTTATATATTAAAAAAAACATATGAACTTTTTTCAATGAGTTCCTTAGTATCTGTTGTACAAGCTTTGCTTAGTTCGGGACTAGATGGCGTTGTTCAATTTATTTATGATTCCATCCTCCGCAGCGGTGGTGGAGCCGGACCTGATCGGCGACTTCTCGGTGCCGTTCGCGCTGCCGCTGACCAGCGGTGATCACTCGGACCTCAAGTCGATCTCGTGCGACACCCTCGCGGCGCTGCTCAGGGGGGATTTCGACGACTGCATCAGCGAATACCAGGTGAATATTTAGAATTACCTCGCAGACAAATCATCTTAAGGAAAAGCTAGTAGTCAGCTTTAACGGCCTCGTTGCTAGTGGTATGCTCTGTCAGGTCGATCTCCACGCGGTCCCCAGGAAATCTATCGAGGTTAATGCGTGGTGAATGCGTCAAGCAGGATATATTTTTAAATTTTTTTAATGTATGATAATGGAATGGTAACCCCGCCTACGCTATCGGTATACACTAGCGGAGCACCAGTGAGGGATGATAGGTCAGGATGAAGCAGGTCAGTTGGTCCATAGCGTCGAATACACGCCGGATTCAGCATGATGGTTTCCAGGGGAACACGTATGTTGACCTGACAGTGTATATATATTGCTAGCAATGGGATTAGTAGTCCGCATTCCTAACAATCCCTTTCCCCACGTCAGGCAGGGTGATAGGTGAAAATGAAAGTGCCTGTCAACCCTCACTGGTGCCCCGCCAGCGTATGCCGTAGCGCAAGCGGGGTTACCATTCCATTATCATCAATTGAAAAAAAAAAACAATTGAAGTCTAATTTTGTTTGCGGAAAATTCTTAACTGAATAGTCTCTGAAGACATCACTCGTTTTCATCATCGCCCGCCTACACCTCTCATCATGGAGAACCATTCTGAGAGAGCTCCACTGACAGTAGACTGCTCCTCAAAACGTCAATTTTCACACAAGATCCTATCCAATGAAAGCTGTAATGGAAGAGCAGATTGCTGATAAAAAACCCTTCTCATCATCATACCAGGTGATCGACTGCCGCTACCCGTACGAGTTCGAGGGCGGCCACATCCTGGGCGCGGTGAACCTGTACACGCCGGCGCAGATCCTGACGCTGGTCAACAAGCCGCTGCAGCCGCGGGACACCAACTCGAAGAGGAGCATACTGGTGTTCCACTGCGAATTCTCGCTGGAGCGAGGACCCAAGCTGTGAGTGCTTTTGGTTTAATACAATTTAGATTGCAGCCTTTTGTAAACAGCCTTCTGGACGAGTGGTGGTCTTCCACCGTGCGTTTTTCAAGGCACTTTCTTCCACGCACAACCACACTTTGGAATCAACTTCCAGCAACAATATTTCCAAACCGATATGACATCATAGCCTTTAAGAAAAGAGTATATTCCTTTTTAAAAGGCCGGCAGCACACCTGCAATGCCGTTGGTGTTGTGGGTGATCATGGGCGGCGGTAGTCACTTACCATCAGGTGAGCCGCATGTTCGTGTTGTAAAAAAATACATTTTACCAGAGGGAGACTTTGTACAAAAGCCGTTTGCTTGGCCACCTCTGTCCCATTCGTGTTTCTACCGTGCAAAGCAGTTGTGTTTGCATGGCTGTGTTTCGGTTTGAAGGGTGGGATATGGCGTGAATTTACAGGGTACAGAGGAATAGCTGCTACTAAAATATTAACGGGTGATAATGGAATGGTAACCCTACCCGCGCTATCGGTATACACCGGCGGGGCACCAGTGAAGGGTGATAGGTGAGGATGAAGCAGGTCAGTTAGCCCATCGTGATGAATACACCTGGATCTCAGCACGATGGTTTCCAGGTGGGACCACGTGGGGGATGATCTGTCAGGGTACATTGCTAGCCATGGGACTGGTAGACCGCATTACTAACAAGCCCATCCCCCCCTACTCATGTTAGTAACAGGTACCAGTAGGAGGGAAGGGATTGATTTTATAAGCTACTTACCATGAGGCGGGCCGTAAGCTTGTTTGTCATTTTGAGTGTCCAAGAACGATATCTTCGTTCACAGATCCCGTTTCCTGCGCTCGTCGGACCGCGCCAAGAACATGGAGCACTACCCGTCGCTGCACTACCCGGAGGTGTACCTGCTGCACGAGGGCTACCGCTCGTTCTACCGCCGCCACCCGCGGCTGTGCACGCCCGAGGGCTACACCGCCATGCTGGACCCCAGGCACAAGCAGCTGCTCAGGCAGCACCGCTCCACGCCCGCCAACACCAGGTTACATCGGCTCCTGTGACGCGGTTTTCCGACGCGCGCTGAAAAAACGCGCGGTTTTCCGACGCGCGCTGAAAAAACGCGCGGTTTTCCGACGCGCGCTGAAAAAACGCGCGGTTTTCCGACGCGCGTTTTTTTAACGCAACCTCAGAGGTGAAATGTTTATGGGTTCAAAACTGAATCTGCGTTGCACAGGTGCTATTCGGCGTCCTTAGATTTTTAATAACGATGGGCGTTAGTGAATTATGTATTGTATAGAACGACCTCAGTATTATGTGTCTCGCGTGAGGTTCCAAGTTCGATTCTCAGGCGAAGTCCTCTAATTTGGCTAGTGATTAAAGTGTGAGCTGGTCGTCACTGAGTTGGCCGTTCTCCGGCTGTATATTGGTTGTCGAAACGCAATAAACTATTTTAACGCCTCTATTCCCTTCTGGGGTGGACTGTACGCGAAATTTTATTATCCAACTGCAGTTTATAGTTCAGAGAGGTATTGTACTATATATATATATATATATATATATATATATATATATATGATCCTATAAATATGAACGCAATGTACCTCTCAAAGAAAAATACATAAAAATTTTTTTGATTAATTATAATATTTAAATTATGGACTGTACCCAAATTATGTAAACAAAAATAAACTGAAATTCAATTTCCTGCCTCCCTACACAAGTAGTCGACTAACCTGTCGACAGACACGTCATCGCCACGTCGCGCGCGATATAGAACGAGACAACAACGTGCGGTGTCCCTTTCTCGCGCGTGCACTGACGAAAACGTATCTATCGACAGGATCAGTCTGTCATTTGTATAGAGTGCAAGCATTTATTCAATTACACAAATCATGTTTAACATAATTTGATTATATAAATATATGGCTGTCTCGTTCACTCGTCACGTGTATGAGAGAGATAGTGTACTGAAGAAAATGGCGCCGAATCTAACTATGAAGATTCGGTCGTCGTTTTTTTTTTTATTATCGAACAATCTTAGTTGAATTTCTCATTGTAATGGTTCGTTCGAGAGAGATCTGTCAAAATTTGTGATTCGCCATTAAAATATTAGTTGAATGTACATTGAAAGATGCTGATTGAACGATTGAAAGAACGATTGAACGAATGATTGAATGGTACGTTACAGAACTCGCCCCCCTTAAGTTGGATTCACACTATGGAGCCAGTCTCGGTTCGTAAAGTAGAAACCATTTGGAGTTGGATCACAGTTGGAACAGAACAGAGCTGCAACTGTCATCGTCAGGGGGGAAAGGGATTGTTAGTAATGGAGACTGAGAATCCCATTGCTAGCAATATACCCAACCAGGTCGACCTCCTCGCAGTTCCCCTTGGAAACTATCATGGTTAATTCCTGATGAATTCATCACGATGGGCTAACTGGCCTGTTTTCATTCTCATCTATCACCCTTCACTGGTGCTCCGCCAGCGTATCCCGTTAGCGCAGGCGGGGTTACCATACCATCTTCACCCAGCAAAAAAAACTTACATCATCAGCATTATCACTGCCTTCACCGTCCCACCACGATATATCGTTGACGTGTTCTGCCCATATAATAGAGGATGATGCCGAAAGGAACAGCCATTATATCTAATACCTCAGGAATGGCAACGCATGGGGGGTATCATGGGCGAAACAGTATACTCTGTTATGTCCATGGTACTGCTCGTGTCTATAGGCGACGTTTACCACTTACCATCAGGTGGGCCGTCAGCTTGTTTGCCATTCTAAGTTGTATAAAAAATAATGTTTAACGCTAATGTAGGAACAAATTGACCTAAGTTTTTACATATACTTACTTGCTATTTTCCGCGACAGTCCTCCGAGGAACTCTGCATTATTTCCAAAATATCTGTCATTCCTATTTTTTTATACAACTTAGAATGGCAAACAAGCTGACGGCCCACCTGATGGAAAGTGGTAACCGTCGCCTATAGACATGAGCAGTACCGTGGACATAACAGAGTATGTCCATTTTGAACATGATATCTCCCCCATGCGTTGCCATTCCTGAGGACTGTTGGATGATAATGGAATGGTAACCCCGCCTGCGCTATCGGTATACGCTAGCGAGGCACCAGTGAGGGATGATAGGTGACGATGAAAGCAGGTCAGTTAGCCCATCGTGACGAATTCCACTAGAATTAATCATGATAGGTTCCAGGGGGAACTGCGTGAAGGTCGACCTGATAGGGTGTATTGATGACAATGGGTCAGTTAGACCCCTTTACTAATAATCCCTTTCCCCCTGCCAGCCTGTCAGTATGTAGAACGGTTTGACGGAGGGCCGTGAAATTATTTTACAACACCGAGACCGGCATCGTAGTGTGACTCTGGCTTCATTCGTAAATTTATACTTGTACTAACTTATTTTAAAAATTTTTGACCATCTTTTTAAATTGGAAATATACCAAAAAAAAAAAGAAAGAAACCAATCTGTCATAGATAAAGTAAGTTAATGACACGCACAGACAAATTTTCTTTGAATAAAGGATATAGAAAAGGTTTTACGTCTGATTAAGGCGTCGATTTATTAGACTTTATATATTAAATTTAAAAAAAATGTAAGAACTACCATTTTAAGTTACGTGTAAGTAGATGCGAGTAAGCTCGACTAGTTTCGAGTACAATTCGCGAGTCTTAATCATGAGCGGCTGTGTCGCGAGTTCGAGCGTGACTGCGCACAAGTCGCTCATGATTAAGGGTCACGAATTGATCCCGAAACTAATCAAACATTCCTCGATCTAATTAAACGTAGCTTAAACTAGTAGTTTTTTTTTATTAAAATTTGAAGAGTGCTTACGAAATTTTTAATGAAATAAATTTAGCCTTATTGGGTCCGATTCTGATGCGTCATTTCTCTCCTATAACATCTCTTAATATTAATTTAATATTAATATACAAGAAAATTACTTCATATTGGTTTTTAAAATAAAGATTTCGCTGTTTTTTAAAGATAGGTTTAGAGAAATGATGTATCAGAATCGATTCAGTTGTCGTTTGATGGTTTAAAAAAAATTATAATTAGTCATTTAGTAGTATTCCTTGTGTGGTACAATTGAGGACTCCCTCTGCTCGGATAGCACAGAGATGCAGCTTCGAATACCGTCGGGTGAAGCTGATGGGAGCTGATATATATATTTTTTAAAATTATATTTAGGATTTTTGATAAATTTTTCAATTAAAGACAACTCAACAACGAAATAATTGATCGTCAACATTAAATAGGCTATAATAATTTACAAATTACAATAGAATCTCGATTATCCGGATCGTATAAAATGAGTTATTCCGGATAATGGAAAATCCGGATCGAGTAAAACGAGTTATTCCGGATAATGGAAAATCCGGATCGAATAAAACGAGTTATTCCGGATAATGGAAAATCCGGATCGAATAAAACGAGTTATTCCGGATAATGGAAAATCCGGATCGAGTAAAACTAGTTATTCCGGATAATGGAAAATCCGGATCGAATAAAACGAGTTATTCCGGATAATGGAAAATCCGGATAATCGAATTCGAAGTCAAATCAAATAGTGCGTGATTAAACGTTAATATTTATTATGTAAATGGTTTTACATACGTTATTTAGACTAAGATATATAGAAATTACGACAAAGATAATGGATTACATAATATCTATTTAACCAATTGATACGTAATACCAATTTTAAATTTATAATTCGAGTCGTGAATACTAAGTCCGGATATCCATTATCCGGATATTCCATCCATTATGTTCGGATAATGGAGATTCTACTGTATATAAAATTTTAATAAATTTTATTTTTTTTTTATAAATATTAAAATAAATAATAAAATTAATGCGTGAATTGCAATTAAAAAGGCAATTGTTTGAATTAATAATCAAATGTTTAAACATTCTCGAAAATAGATTTAATATGGAAATTCATTCGTTCACTCGTTGATTTTAAAATGACTGTACTATAGTTATAAATTAATAGTTAATTTTAAACTTTTTCAACTTAACTATAGTAGAGAGTTTACTTTAACTTATAAATGGTTTATTTCACTCATTCATTAACGCATTTCGAATATAAATTGGTATAAAAATGTATCATTTGTTCATTCATTGGATCGTCCATTCAAACATACAGTACGTTAACGAATTCCATTCCTTAAAACTAGTGTTAGTAGGCATTAATACGGTCTCAGATATATATATATTTATTATAAAGATTGTTTCTAGAAAAAAATATAATTTTTTTTGAGACACTATTAAATAAATAAATATTATTATAAAAGGACTGAAAAATCAAGCAGAAAAAAACCCATGACACTTCGACCTTCCCATGATCTCTCGTGCTCTCTCTTAAAGTTCGCCGCTAATTCCTATCAGAGATAGGAACTTTAAGATGTTCTCTTGTAGCTATGTTTTTTTTATCTCCTCAAGGTACAGAGTGCGTTTTCCAAACGAGATATATCGTTTATGTACGACTGGGCTACAGTTAGAAACTGAGCGTTGTGGCGTTTTAACTAAAACCAGTTTTAAAGAATGGATTTCATTAAATCACAGCATGTAACTCAATCGTTCGTTCATTTTCAACGTTTAAGTAAAATATACCACAAGACAAGTCGTATGCACTGAAATTGTAAATAGAATAAAAAAAAAAACAACATATGCCATACTATTATAAGTGTTAAGTACAAAATATAGATTAAAAATAATACATCCCACCTTCTCTTGTATGCCATTTTAGTTTTTAAATATGTTTTTTTTTCAATAATTAGTTTTAATTTAGTGGTACGGTCGTACGGTGTGAGTTTTAACTGAATTTACTGCGTACCGTGAGTCGAGATCGTGTCAAATGGGTCGACGATGCCCGAGTAACACCATAACCCCATAACGTTATGTGGATCTTAAAAGTACAACTTGAAAATATGGCTTTAGACCATTTTATTTCAACAGTCACGCTATGAGCACAGGCCTCGTCTATTGCGTTTCCTATTGGAGTGTTTTGGTAATAGTTGCCACGATTGGCAAGTGTTTAGCAACGGCAGTTAGGCTTTAGTGATGTTTTAAGAGACTCTGCTGTCGAATCCTCGATCAGTGTGTTCTCTTACGACACCCACGCGAAAGTTAGCGGTGGCCCATTCTATGCCGGAACCACGAAGCTACGAGTATAAATACTTACAGAAGTTCTTTATTGTTTCCTCCAAAAGATTACATACTCAAACTGTTTATAATTACTCCTCTCCAAAGGTTGCCTGCAAGAGATCGCTCTTAGCGATAATGTCGCCCATTGTTCTCTCACTGTGATCATTTCTTGTAATTGTTTGTATCTATAATAAGTTTACTATTGTAATCTTATGGAGGAAACAATAAAGAGTATCTATCTATCTATCTATATACACACGTCGACTGTACCCATGATTGTTCGTTTATTTTCCATAATTATGTCATTTAGTGTACACTCCTTCAGTAAGGAGGTACTACTGTAGTGTGGCTACGATGCAATTGTCTGTCAAGTTTTAATAGCAATTGTACATAGTTAAATTTAAACTTTTTCGTTATTTATTACAAATACAGTATCAGGACTTAACATGATGACGTATTGCAGGTAAATAGTGCATGTCCAGGAATTACATAGAAGGAATGATAAAATGAAAACTGTAAATCATACGGTCGCCTCCTTTCTTCTAATGTAAATATAATTAGTAAAAAGAGGACGAAAGATACACTATCAGTTGTTGTTTTTGTCAATTCATAGCAGGCTAGTGTATAGAAAATGTTACACGGCCGTATAACCCTACCATATTCAGATGCAACCCGCTCGCGTACTGTCTACATAAACTGTCCAATATATAATCTAGTAATGTAACATTTGTCATTGACAAATAATTGACATATCAAACGTTTTCAATACACACTAGCCTGCTATGAATTGAGAAAAATGACAGCTGATGGTGTATCTTTCGTCCTCTTTTTACTAATTATATTTGCATAGTAAGAAAGGAGGCAAACATATGATTTACCGTTTGTATCATTCCTTCTATGTAATTCCATGTTCTTAGATGCTAACTGCCACGTTGCCACATTACGGTAGGGTGTGAACACTCAAGTGTCCGACAGACTGGCAACGACATATTGCTCGCCAGTCGCCCGTTTGTAGGACATTGCCCTCTTCATTTGCTTATTCGGTATTGCTCATTACTTCATTGTGACGTCATAAGACAGTATATATCGTCTGTCCAATAAAATTATGTAGCATTGATAATAGGCTCGATTCTGAGGCGCTATTTCTCCTATCTCTTAATCTAATACGTTGATTGTATTGTATTAATCGTTATCCGTCCACTGCTGGACATAGCTACCCCATAAAGAGGAGTTTTGCCAGTAGTGGCCACGCTTGGCGAGCGGATTGGCAATCACAGTTAGGCTTTGGAGATGTTTTAAGAGGGTCGCTGCTGCCCATCCCTCGCGCTCCCTTAGTCGCCTCTTACGACACTTCCAGGAAAGGAATGGGTGAGCTATTAGCTATGCCGGGGCTTACAAGGCTTCAAGTTGATAATTTCACGAAATTACTGCTTTATGGACCATTGTAAAGTGAATTTATAACAGTTTTTATTTAAATCTATTTGAAATTTAGTTCATATTGGTCTTTAGACTTGATTTCTCGCTGTCATTAACCGTTACATACCACTGCTGGAAATAGGTCTATAAGGAGTATTTTGCCAGTAGTTGCCACGCTTGGCAAGCGGGTTGGCGACCGCAAATATAACGCTGTAATAAATTTAACTGTCAGAGATAAGTTTAAAGAAATATCGCCACAGAATCGAACCTAATACCTTATAACAAAACATATAGAAAATGACACCCAAGTTAGTACTGTAGTCTATTATATCTAATGGTAATGTAAGGGGGGGGGGGGATTGTTAGTGATGGAGACTGAGAATCCCATTGCTAGCAATATACTCAACCAGGTCGACCTTCTCGCGGTTCTCCCTGGAAACTATCATGGTTAATTCCTGATGAATTCATCATGATGCGCTAATTGGCATGTTTTCATTCTCATCTATCACCCTTCACTGGTGCTCCGCCAGCGTATCCCGTTAGCGCAGGCGGGGTTACCATACCATTTTCACCCTCAAAAAAAAAATGGTAATGTAAATCAACGAATACTCGACCCGTCCATGAGCCAGTCAGCTGATGTCTCTTTTTAATGGGTGATGAAGGAATGGTAACCCCGCCTGCGCTATCGGTATACACCGACGGGGCACCAGCGAGGGATGATAGATGATAATGAAAAAGCAGGTCTGTTAGCTCATCGTGAAGAATAGGCCTGGAATTCAGCACGATGTTTTCCAGGGGGAACCACGTGGAGGTGGACCTGATAGGGCATTTTGCTAGCAATGGGGCTGTCAAACACCATTGCTAACAATCCCTTTCGCCCCAGCCCGTCGATGTTTGAGCGTAGTACAAACCAAACGTCGACCAATCGATTGGATGTTACCATTCGACTCTGATTACATACAGAGACATGCTCCTGGGATGACCACAACAACTTGGCCACGATTTCAGGCATTGGTCATATGGTTACCGATCCGATGTCTATATATTGGGTTTCTCTGCACATTGATGATGGAAAAACGGTCATCACCCATTCCGATATCGCCCATATCGGTCGGATATCTATTTTCGAATATGTTGAAAGTCTGTTTTCCAATATTAAGTTTTTGGATAGCACACTTTTAACATATTCGTCACTAGACCAGTACATAGATATTGCCCACCTATACTGTTTTTTTTTTGTCACAGAAAACCATAGACTAAAGCAATCGTGGATTATTCAAAGTCTGAAACCCATAAACAATGGTCTAAATATTATGGTACTAACTCGGAAACGTCATATTTTCTACATATCCCATATATTTATTTAAAAAAAAATTAATAAACGTGTTTTGACTATTAAAACCTTATATATATAAATGTAATTTATCATGTCTGCCCGTACCAGTAAATGTTAATACCGCAATAGGCGAAAACAAGCTTTAAAATTTAACCGTGTGCCGTTAACTCCAAATATTTGTAAATAATAAAAAACTATACATTGGACAGGATTATTTTCTGTAACGGAATAGTAACGTACGAAGGGTACCATGGGCGACACAGTATACTCTGTTGCGTTCACTGTACTGGCCATGTCTACGACGGTTACGACGATCCGTCAGGCTGGACATCAGTATTTGCCATCTTAACTGAGTAAATCGTGGGGAAAATCTAACTGAAATATACTTTTTTTTTATGCAACCTAAAATGGCAAACAAGCTGACGGCCCACCTGATGGGAAGTCGTAACCGTCGCCTATAGACACGAGCAGTACCGTGGACATAACAGAGTATACTGTTTCGTCCATGATACTCCCCCATGCGTTGCCATTCCTGAGGACTCAGGTGTTATTCCTCTGTACCCTGTAAATAATTCTGGCCAATATATAGGTCGTCTTGTATTTTAAGTTATATATAAACATATAAGACATGTAATCTCTGAATTGAATTATTAAATAACATTTTATATAATATAAATGGATTTTTACCAATTTTATTTTATTATTGTGTCTCAATGTAACAACTACCGGTTTAACTTAACATATAATCAGATCGAAAAAGTTGGACTAGTTTCGGGACCCATTCGTGACCCTTAATCATGAGCGGCTGTTATGCGAGCGCGTATACGACTTGTGGGTGGCGACTACTCCTTTCTTCATCCCCCAAAGTTAGTCGACCGCGTTTAAATTCATTATACCAACGATACACGGTTGCCTTAGAAGGGCCTTCATCCATGAATACCATTTGAAGTCTATTATACAATTCGTCGGGTTTCAGGCGACATTTCAAATCGTAAAAAATAATAGCGCGAAAACGTTCTCGACGCAAAACCATTTTTCAATATGACCCGGTAATTTTAATTAGCTCGCAAAAAATGTGGCGGGAAATTTTGAATTCGGAACGTACCTATTTTCACTTATAAGTAATCATATTTTTAAATAAATTATAACCGGCCAGTCTCACGTACATAAAAACTTTTTCTCGCAATACTTTCTGAGTGACTTGGTATTTTTTTTTTTTTTTACAATTAGTAATCGTTATCGAACAGCAAACATGTTGTAGGGAATCACAACGCACTACTCTCAGATAATAGGTCCTGATTTATCATACGATAGTTCAGGACATGCCATCAAGTGTTCCATCACGGATTGAACGAAATCTGATAAAAATCCATTTATAATTTTAATGAAATATTAATTAGATTTTATTATTATATTCTTTGATTTGTTTAAACTGACTAGTCCAATTTTGATGCAATCGAAACGGGATTAAATTTAAATTACACGCAATAAATGTCAAATGACACAGAGCCATCTAGTTTCGAATTAACTAAGCAACTAATTCTATGTTTGACTGATTTTAGTTGGCTAGTCAAACATTTTTTAATTCATCATCATCATCATCACCTATAACTGTCCACTGCTGAACATAAGCTTCCCCCTTGGGGAGTTTTGCCAGTAGTTGCCACACTTGGCAAGCGGATTAGCAACCGCAGTTAGGCTTTAGAGATGTTTCAAAAGGGACGCTGCTGCCCATCCCTCGTCCTCCCTTAGTATTCTCTTACGACTTACGAGAAAGGAAGACGTGGCCCATTCTATGCTGGGACCATACATTTAATAATAAAACTAATTAACATTTCTGAAAAAAAAAAAGAATTATCAATAATAAATGAAAGCGTTCATGTTTTTAAAACAAAAACATTTTGAAAGAAAACAAAAATATTTATTTTGCTTTTGTTTATTTCATGTTTACGGTAATGATTTGGTAATAGGAAATTTGGGGTCGAATCTAAACCGCCATTTCGTCACAGTCGTAGAATACCGACGGATCTCATAAATATTACATATAAAGATCGGTATTCTACGACTATGACGATTTGTCTAAATTTACTAAACTAATATATCTATTTTACATACCACATCTGTACCATCAAATATTAAATTTATAATAATTTTGACTTTAGAAATTTAGTTCATATTGGTCCTTAAAATATAGGTTTCCAAACCTCGGCAGGGAGCTCGTTCCACAGCCACAGCGTTCGTGGGAGGATATTTTTTTGGAACCGCACTGTACGTGACCATTTAGCTTCAAGCGTGTGAGAATGAATTCCCTGTCGATGGCGAGCGGTCACAGCTAAATTTTTAATCTTAAGACCAATGTGCACTAAATTTCTAATAGATTTCAAAATTATCATAAATTTAGTTGCTGATGGCCCCGTAAAAGGGTCAAGCGCGATATTAACTTAAAATGATAGAGTAAAAGAAATCACCCTTAGAAGCTACTTTATTGTCTGATTTAATTTCTTTAGATAACCAAGACTTGGAAATGGCAACCCATGAAATAACCTATTATGGGCATCAAATTGTAGGTACTTTCTCATGCCCACGGTTTGCCGTTACCCGTCGCAAGTTTTTTTTTTTTTTTCAATATTTACAGATGCATGTTTTATGTTTTAAACGCAAGCTACTCAAATGTTATTGATAATTAAAAATTGAAAATTAAAAGCAATACTAATTTACGCTTTTATTATAATATTAAGGTTGATTAAAAAATAATAAATTATTTTTATTTAAAAGAAATTATGACAAAAACTTATGTTACACTATTATTGCTGTATTAATTTTATAATTGTACATATATATATATATATATATATATATATATATATATATATATATATATATATATATATATATATATATATATATATATATATATATATATATATATATATATTCTACTTTAATATAGCTTCTTAGAGTATTTAAAAAATGGTATGGCAACGCATGGGGTGTATCATGGGCGAAACAGTATACTCTGTCATGTCCACGGTACTGCTCATGTCTATAGGCGACGGTTACCACTTTACATCAGGTGGGCCGTTTGCTTGCCATTCTAAGTTGTATAAAAAAAAAACATTTCGATATCGCCCATATCGGTCGGATATCTATTTTCGAACATGTTAAAAGTCTGTTATCCGATATTATTTTTTTGGATAACACACTTTTAATATATTCATTATTAGGCCAATATAGGGATATTGTAACTAAAATATAATAGATATAATTGCTATATACGAGGTTTGTCCGGAAAGTACGTATAAAAGTTTTTTAAAAATTTTATTTTACAATTATTCAGGTAAATCAATTTTATCCCCTTCAAAGTACTCCCCCTGTGACATAATGCACTTGTGCCAACGCCGTTTCCACTGTGAGAAGGCTCCTTGAAAGTCCTCTGGTTGTAGGTTTCTCAGCTGCCCCGTCGTAGCTTTTTTTATCTCATTTATGTCCCCCAAATGCCGCCCCCGAAGTACCAATTTGGTTTTTGGGAACAAGAAGAAGTCACACGGGGCCAAATCCGGCGAATAGGGGGGTGTTCGGTCACCGTAATGGAATTTTTACTCAAAAACTCACGGAACGATCTTGACGCAAATTTTTTTCATTTGAAGTTCGTTTCTTAGAATTTCGTGGACCACGGTTTTGCCCAAATTAAGCTCTTCAGCCACCTGTCTGACCGTTAAACGACGGTCCCCATTAACACAAGTTCGAATTCTTTCCACGTTTTCGTCGGAATGTGAAGTGGAAGGACGTCCTGAACGTGGGTCATCTTGAACGCTTTCTCGGCCCTCTCTGAATCTTTTTAGCCACTTGTGGACGGTTGGTTCCTTCACAGCATCATCCCCATAAACTGTTCTGAGATCGGCAAAAATTTCACGGCCATTCTTGCCGAGTTTCGAGAGAAACTTGATTACGACGCGCTGCTCTTCAACGGAAGCGGGCTCCATGCCGACGGGGTTTCGTTAAGAGGTAACTTCACAGATGGCGTGACAAGCCAGTTCGCACCGCACGGCGGTCAGACCAGAACTGAAGCATTGTTAGGGACATAAGGAAGGGGTCCTGCGCTTACCTGGCCTCCCCACTCCTCTTTCTCGCATTCCAGAACACTTTTATACGAACTTTCCGGACAGACCTCGTATTACCAATCTGTATTTATAATGCTTACCGGGGCCGATTCTAAGGTGCCATATACCTCTAAAATTGTCAAACAAATATTATAATTTGATACATTCACGAATTCACCATTTTGTGGGCCATCGACAACTAAATTTGTAATAATTTCGACTTAAATCTATTAGAAATTTAAGTTCCTATTGGTCCTTGTAATGAACTTTAAAAAATTTCAAAATGTTGATTTTAGAGGTAGCTTTAAAGAATTATTTTGATGTACTCCTACATTTAAAAGTGAACTCTAAGAAGCTACATTAAAGTCGCTCGAAAGCAATGTTTAGTTTATTTGAAAATTGTGTTACTGTATTATAATGACTTGGTTTTTTTTTTATTCATAGACAAAACCCACTGACACGCAGGTCACAATAACTCTGTAAAAAAAATGTTGCAAATAAAAAAAAAGTAATTAAAGATGCTCTATGTTACGGTGCAGTGCCAGTAAAAATGAAAAAAAAAAAAATGTACTATTCTCGTTTTATAACCGACAGAAAGTGTCTTTAATTTTTTTTTTTTTTTTGTTTGCTTCTAATAAGTCTGTAACGTCTGAAACTTTGTCCTTGAGTCTTGTGTCGTAATTATGAAGTATGCAAATGTGATGCCAAGATGAAAGGAAAAGAATTCAGTTTGTAACCAACAACTATTAACTTTATATGGAATGTTGTAAAGAAACAGGATTGCTTTTCTATGTATATCGCCAAATGATTCGAGCACAAACAAACCACATACAACATAGAGGTTAATAGCTAATGGCTTTCTTGTCTAAGTCTAAATAAATTAAAAATAAAAATCCTCTATGGTTTCACTTAACATTCATTGTCTATGGTTCTGTTCAAATTGTTTGCCGCGAACTGTACTAAAGTTAAGAACTAACTTCATATAAATGTCCCAATGTATAAATAGACAATATCACAGTACACCTTTGTATGTTTGTTGTAGTGTTTTTTTTAATTTCACTGAGATTTTCCGAGACACTATTACGAATATGTATTACGCATTATATGATGCACTGGTGTTAAAACGCTGGCAGTAAAGAAAAAAATTGTTTCCGTTCTATTTTCAATTTTAACATGTGATAAAAAAAAATTGGCGCCAAAATGAAACATAACCTCAAAGTATTCGCAACAGTGCATCATACAATGTGAATATATTTGATTAGTAAATAGTTGCTACTCGAAAAAAATGTACGCTTATTAGCTAAGATTGTAAATATTTGTCATTTTGTAATTTTAATATAGAATATATATATATATTTAAAGAATTTCACGTGTTTTACATTCACCCCTTGATCCAGAGTTAAAATCGTATCCCTGAATAATGGTAACACAATGTGAGATAGAAATGCCTACGCTATCTGTATACGCTGGCGTGGTAGTGAGGATGAAGCCAGATCAGTTGGTCCATCCTGATTCTGATGGATTCAACATTAATAATTATTTAATAACTACTTTTTTTAATGGATGATAACGGTATGGTAACCCCGCCTGCGCTATTGGTATACACTGTCGGAGCACCAGTGAGGGATGATAGGTGAGGATGAAGAGGCAGGTCAGTTAGCCCATCGTGATATATACAGCTGGAACTCAGCGCAATGGTTTCACAACGTGCAGATCACCGTGATAGGGTATATTGCCAGCAATGGTAGTCCGCATTACTAACAATTCCTCTCCCCTCTCCCTCCCCGCCTAATTATTCGAATAGTGTAAAAAAACATTCGGCATTTCACATAAGAATTCATAATATTCCTTCCCCCTGGACATTTATACTCTATTCCCATCACAGATTATAAAGTGTACGTAGTACGTTATACTAACCTATGAATAAGGAATTGCATAGAAGGAGTAATAAAATTGTCAATTCATAGCAGGCTAGTGTACAGACAATGTTACACGGCCGTATAACCCTACCAAATTCAGATACAACCCGCTCGGATACTGTCTACATAAACTGTGTCCAATATATAATCTAGTAATGTAAAATTTGTCATTGACAAATAATTGACGTTTCAAACGTTTTCTATACACTAGTCTGCTATGAATTGAGAAAAATAGCAACTGATGGTGTATCTTTTGTCCTCTTTTTACTAATTATATTTGCATAAGAAGAAAGAAGGCAACCATATGATTTACAGTTTTTATTTTATCATTCCTTCTATGTAATTCCTTGTTCTTAGATGCTAACTCTATGGTTTCCATGGTGATCACGAGTCCTCATCGAGACGAGACGAGTTTTCGGTCACGACGGCCGCTTTGATTCCACTTTTACTATTATTCATTGACCGCATAGAGACATTATTTATTTTTGACATTCGTGTATTTCTTTTGTACTGTTTACGTCTATAGGTGACGGTTACCACTTTCCATCAGGTGGGTCGTTGACTTGCCATTCTTGTCTTCTCTCAAATTGCATAAAAACATTTTAGCTTACCAAGTGTGAAAAAAATGGACAAAATTTCATAAAACACAAATATATTTATTGGTTTTAAAATATGAATATTGACGTCAATCAACAACAATATTGACGTCAAACAAAACATTATATATATATATATATATATATATATATATATATATATATATATATATATAATGAGTTTCCACATACTCAGTCTATGGTTTAAACGTTACTATCTAGGGTTAAAATAAATTGTTTTTAACTTTTACACTTTCTCGCTGCATGTTTTATAAGAGACGGGAACTAAAGCCATCGTTTAGGTAAACTGTGATAATTTACCTTATTTACATTTCAATGCACCACTATATCGTCATAGTCGTAGAATACCGACGGATCTGACGAAGATTACATATAAAGATCCGTCAGTATTCTACGACTATGACGATATAAGTAAGTGTAGTGTACATATCGTCACAATCGTAGAATACTGACGGATCTGACAAATATTACATATAAAAATCCGTCAGTATTCTACGACTATGACGATATGGCGGACTTGACACCTAATGGCGTTCTCTACCAGTCAACCATCGAGGCGAGCAGAAAATTAAGTAAATTCTGTATTTACTACTGAAATAAATATCTAACAATATTGATAAATGACTAATACATATATATATATATATATATATATATATATATATATATATATATATATATATATATATATATATATCTGTGTGTGTGTGTGTGTGTGTGTGTGTGTGTATATACATATATACACATAGATATACCTATTTACACAAATACATATTATTTATAACTTTAATTCTAATGATGATAAATCAGAACAACAGATTAAAAGAAAATAAGGCAAAAGAATACCTGCGACTGAAGTAAAAAGTGCAATTAGAAAGTAAAAGAAAAATAATAGAGAGAAACAAGAAAGAGGTTACAAAATGTATTACAAATTTTTTAGGAAGCGATCACGTAGTTTAGATTTAAAGGTAGATTTGTTTTTATTATCTCCACGTTTCGACCAGGTTTCTCCGGCTGTGGTCACAAGTAGACTGAGTAGTCACAAATGATCGCATTAATTCCCGTCTCTTATAAAACATAAACCGTTTTTTAATGGCGGAACAAAACATACTTCCATAGATACAGAATTTTCATTTTTAAAACATACTTAGGTAAAGATATTGAAAGATTCGACGTTGGAATGGAAAACATTTATTAAATATCCACGTACTATAGCATTATTTCCTTAAAACTTTTTATTTACTTTTTAACTATCAACACATAACTTGAGCATGATTCACTTGCGCTGTTCACATACAAAATAAATACTTATTACTTAACTACTTGCTCATTTATTAAATACTTGCGCAGTAGTGTTGCAAGTGTACACTGCGCGCGATTCAATATCTATGGTTTGGTCATAAGGGTAAAGTCAAGTTGTCGCATATTTTCTGAACATACCTAATTATTGCACTTATAATAATCAGAGGGCCTACCATGAAATATTTTTCGAAATTTCGGGGACGAACGAAACAGTAATTTGATGTTAAAATTACATAATACATACAATACGTTTAAAATTATTAAAAATGTTAAAATATCGTTCCTCTGGACTATTGGGATAGGATTTATGATGAACGAAACGTTAAGCTCCATTTACTGGGTCGATTTCGGTACGAACAAAAACACGAAATTGAACCCGAAATTTCGGAATTTCATTTCATGGTAGACCACCAGTTTAAATACAATAGATTATTTTAATAAGAAGGTAAATTAAATAATAAACAATAAATAAAGAGCATTAACTAAGTAACTATATTATTTTAAAATCCTTAAACACATTTACAAAACTGTAGGATATATATTTTTCCTTTTTCTCTTCATATGGCACGGTACAAAGTGCATCCGCCAAAAAACATGGAGAGATTTGAACTAAGAACAATTATTATATAGTAAATTGGAATGTCGACATGCCGGATGTAGATAGGTAAGTACCTATTACAAGATCTTACAAATATAATTTGACTAGAACATTGTATAGAGCGTAAACGAATATGTAACAAACATTAATTTTCCTTTTGGACCTCCTTCTTTTCTTCCTCCTTATTATGAACAACTTTCTCATCGCCAGTTTTATTTTCGCCCGCTTTTTTATCTGTGGCCTCCTCTAGAGACGTTCTTGACAGTTGCCTCAGGATCTTTTCGAATATTCTTGGCGCGCTTTTCGTATTTGGAAGTGAAATGTCAGTTTGAGTTGTGACCGTCTCGCTTCTCTTTTCCTCAACAACATTCACGGGTACGTGCGTCTCTTTCAAGTCTAGTTTCATCGTTTTCTTTTTAAGTTCGCGGGCTGGATCATCGATATCGGATTTGACTTCTTGTATTTTTGTGTCGCTGTCTTTTTCTCTGCATCGTCTCTCGATTGCTTTGCTCAATACGTTGCCCAGTATGTGGGCGCATTTGATTATGTTTTGTGTTTCTCTCGGCGTCAGATGCAGGCCTTCGTTTCGAATTATATAATTTATATCCTCTATGTTGTCTGGAGATCGTTTCCTGGAGCCGTCAGCAGAGAATTCTGAGAAAAATTTTGTATTAGATAGATAGATAGATACTGTTTATTGTTCCCTCCATAAGATTACAATAGTAAACTTATTATAGATATAAACAATTACAAGAAATAATCACAGTGAGAGAACAATGGGCGACCTTATCGCTAAGAGCGATCTCTTGCAGGCAACCTTTGGATGGAGAGGAGTAATTATAAACAGTTTGATCGAAGGCACGATGAAATTCTATTATTTCTAAAATATAGAGATGTGATACATGTAATAATGTAAATATATATCCCTACTTATAATATATATATATATATATATATGTATATATATATACACACATACATACATACATTGTATATTAAATTATACATAGCAAAGAGTAAATAATATTAATCACAATTCATAACACTTTTTATGTCGTGTTTTCAAGTTATTAACCATTTAATTATCATCTATTAAAAAATAAAAGTAATCTGGCCACGCTTAAGAAAAAGTACATACCCAAATCGGCCAAATCAATATTTTCGGTCCTGTACGGCGTGGGGCACTGGTCGTAGTAACTCTTCATGGGCACTTTCGCTATGGAGTTATTGTAGTTCGCCCAGAAGTTGTTCCACTCGCCGTCGGCGCGACCCTCGACCGCCGTGTTCTCGATCTCGCTGCATTCCTGCCAGCTGCCACCGCAGCAACTTGAAAGAAGAATTCCCATTCGTATTTCTACTGTGAAGCAGTTGTGTTTGCATGGCTGTGTTTCGGTTTGAAGGGTGCGATATGGCGTGAATTTACAGGGTACAGAGGAATAACACCTGAGTCCTTAGGAATGGCAATGCATGGGGGTATCATGGGCGAAACAGTATACTCTGTTATGTCCATGGTACTGCTCATGTCTATAGGCGACGGTTACCACTTTCCATCAGGTGGGCCGTTGGCTTGTTTGCCGTTCTAAATTGAATAAAAAAAATACACATTTTCTATACACTAGCCTGCTATGAATTGAGAAAAATAGCAACTGACGGTGTATCTTTCGTCCTCTTTTTACTAATTATATTTGCATAAAAAAAAGGGAGACAACCATATTATTTACAGCTATTTTATCATTTCTTTTATGTAATTCCTTGTTCTAAGGTAGAGAGGACATCACCTTTTTATCAATGGTTCTTTGTATCATGTATGTGTTCAGTCATTGAAACAAGAAGATTAATTTTGAAGTCTTTTATTCAGTAACTCATTCCAAAACATCATAATATTATCATATAAGACTAATCTTGCCATTCTTTTTTATTTATACCACTGAGGTGGCAAACAAGCATGCAAGTTTGTTCGCAGTTTGGATGCCGAACGGTTAACACTACGCTCTAAGCAGTGATTCATTAATTTGCTTGAAGATGCTTCGTTTAGAGGTGAAACATGTGTCGCAAAACGTGCGCGAACAAAATGGCAGTCGGAGATTGATGTCTAATATGGAAGGTTAGGGGGAAAGGGATTGTAAGCAATGGAGTTTGACAGCCCCATTGCTAGCAATATGCCCAATCAGGTCAACCTCCACGTAGTTCCCCCTGGAAACCATCGTAAACAATTCTTGTTGAATTCGTCACGATGGGCCAACTGATCTGCTTCGTCCTCACCTATCATCCTTCACTGGTGCTCCGCCGGTGTATACCGATAGCGCGGGTGGGGTTACCATTCCATTATCAGCCATTAAAAAAAATATGGAAAGTTGTCAATCTTCGCGTATTGGCATCCACACACATGGAATTAAACGAATAATTGTAATCGAATAATCACAAGTAATATTCAACGTACCTGGAGACCATCATGTCCTGGCTGCGAGGGGTGACAGCCGTGTCCGTGAGCCGCGAGACGCGAGGGGACATCTCCGTGGACGACTGCCCGGAGTACTCGGGAGAGACCGAGGAGTAGTCCAGCTCTGTACTCACTCCGTATCTAAAAAGTTAACGTCCTAATTGTTATTTGACAGTCTACTGTCACTCAGAACTTTATCATTATAATCATATATTTATCATTATAATAATAATAAGGTCGTTCAACTACAGACGCAGGTGCAGAGTTGCTTAGACACGTATTTGCTGCATGGGAAACTAAAATGGATGTGATAGGTGTTTTTTGTGACCTTTCTAAGGCTTTTGATTGCGTTGATCATAATACATTGCTAAAAAAACTTGCTTTTTATGGCGTCAAAGACAATGCTTTAAATTTAATAAAATCTTATCTATCTGATAGAATACAGAAAGTGAAGATTAGCAACGCTACGTCTGACGGGTCACTTGTGCAAATGGGTGTACCTCAAGGATCTATTCTCGGTCCATTTTTATTCCTAGTTTACATTAATGATCTCCCATATGCCATGCAGGATAGATGCGGCATAGTATTATTTGCAGATGATACTTCATTGATTTTTAAAGTTAATAGAATGACTAATAATTATGACGATGTAAATAGTGCTTTGCGGCGTCTCCTGCACTGGTTTACAACTAACAATCTTATGTTAAACGCTAAAAAAACAAAATGTGTTAATTTCTCTCTGTCTAAAAGTTTTAATACTAATTGCAATATTAAATTAAATGACGAATCTCTCGAATTTATAGAATCTACTGTCTTTCTAGGAATCACACTAGATAATAAAACACAATGGGGTGCACAAATTCAAAGCCTTGCAGCGAAACTAAGTTCAGCAGCTTTTGCCGTGCGTAAGGTTAGACAGTACACTGATACTGATACTGCTAGATTAGTCTATTTTAGTTATTTTCATAGTTTACTCTCTTATGGAATATTACTATGGGGAAAAGCGGCAGATATTAAGAATATATTCATATTACAAAAACGTGCCGTTCGAGCGATCTACTGTATGAAGAGTCGTGACTCATTAAGAGAGAAATTCAAAGAGGCAAATATTCTCACCGTTGCTTCTCAATTTATATATTCAAATATCCTATATGTTCATAAAAATCTTGACTTATTTCCAAAAAACAGCAATATTCATAATATTAATACTAGATTTAAAGACAAACTTGCTGTCCCCAAGTATCGTTTAGAAAAAGTTAATAGGTCTTTTATGGGAATAGGTATAAAAATTTACAATAAGATACCAAAGGATATGTTGGAATTACCCTTAAATAAATTCAAAACATCTGTTAAATCATATTTACTGAGCAAAGCCTATTACTCACTAAACGATTACTTGAATGACGAGTGTGCATGGCAATAGTTGTTCATGCACTGAATTTTCATTTAATGTTAGACATAGACACCTATATAAATATACATTGTAAATAAACTGGCTTTAAAAAAAAAAGTAATTCAATTGAGTTTCTTGCCAGTTCTTCTCAATTGGATCTATATACTGAACTGGACGGTAGGGAAAAAAATAAAATTATAATGTAAAAATTTGACGTTCATAAGCGGCTAAAATGTCCTACATGAATAAATGATTTTTGAATTTGAATTTGAATTATCAGCCGTTGTCTGTCCATTGCTCAATATAAACCACCCCATTGGCTTCCATAAAGATCGGTCCCGAGCCATCTAGATTCCTTGGCTGCCTACAATACATTTGAGGTCGCACTTCATCTAATCAGGGATCGTCCTACACTGCCTTTGCTAGTACGGGATCGCCGGGGGGAAAAGGATTGTTAGTAATGGAGACTGGGAATCCCATTGCTAGCAATATACCCTATCAGGTGGACCCTCACGCGGTTCTCCGCGGACCTCCACCCCCTGGAAACCGTCGCGGTGAATTCCAGGTGTATTCATCACGATGAGCTAACTGACTTGCTTTTTTATTATTCACCTGTCATCCCTCACTGGTGTCCCGCCAGTGTATACCGTAAATGCGGCGAGGTTACCATTCCATTATCATCCATGAAAAATTATTATGAAATTTGGTATACATATATTTTATGGGATAGAGAAAAACATAGGCTACTTTATCTTGGTCACACGGACAAAGTCGCGTGTACAAGTTACAGCTCTGTAATTGTAAATTGAATTCAAACCTATAAGGACTTGCTGATGACGAGGTCTTGTACAAACTTTCCCGACTACAGACGCTGTCTCGGCTTTTCGAGTCCGTCTTCTGAGCTCTTCTGGACTCGACGCGTTGGGAATGAAGCTGGTTCTGCAATGAGCCGCTCCTGGGCTTGGTTTTGGGTGTGGAGGTAGCAAACGCTGTGACCTTTTGTGGTATGCCATACTTAGAGTTTGTATCTTCGAAATCTGAAACCTGGAATATTGGTTATATTACATTTTACCAGAGGGAGACTTTGTACAAAAGTCGATTGCTTGGGTACCTCTGTCGCATTCGTGTTTCTACCATGAAGCAGTTATGTTTACATGACTGTGTTTGGCGTGAATTTACAGGGTACAGAGGAATAACACCTGAGTCCTCAGGAATGGCAACGCATGAGGGGTATCATGGGCGAAACAGTATACTCTGTTATGTCCACGGTACTGCTCATGTCTATAGGCGACGGTTACCACTTTCCATCAGGTGGGCAGTCAGCTTATTTGCTATTCTAAGTTGTATAAAAAAAATCCGTTCAATTTTGGCAAAATCCAGTTATTTTCATTTAAAACTGAATTACCGAACCGATTTTGATAAAATTTCTTTGAAACCAATCTGTAAGTATATCCTTTCAGGTAATAAAAGAATTTTCCAAATCGGTTCACAACTGACGGAGTTATGAGGTGACAAACATACAAAAATACAACAGAGATTAAAACCTTTTTTTTTTAATATTGGTTGAAATTTGATCAATTGATTGAACATTCTGAGAGAGATCAAATATTTCTATACAAAATTATGAATAATTTTATTGAATCACTTTTTCTGTTGAGTAATGTTATTATAAGGTCTCCCCGGGTAAATTCTAGAAATAATTAGTAGGTACATTACTGCAGCGGCCAGCAACTGAGGCATTGATAGATGAACGTGCAAATGTGGGCCGAGACCTAGCCGAGGCACACATACGTGAATCCATCAATGCCTAATTGTGGCCAAGGTTTGTACACTGCTTTTCTCAAACAATGCGCGGAAATCAAAAACACAATTTTACTTTTTAAGTTCAATGACGAATAACGAACAATAATAATTTTTCACGCGTCATAATGTTCCTTTGTTTTTTTTTTTCAATAAGCAGCTTTCTATTTGCAAGCCAGTTCGAAATTTAAATAAAACTTTTTATTAGTTACCTCCTTGGTAGCCATGTTTCGAAGTAAAAGGTCATTCCATTTTTAAATTACAGGACAGATATGAGTTTACATAGTAATTTATCTGGCCGCAAAACACGACAGATATGGATTTTCATACAACTTTTGCCGGCCGCTGCCCGCATGTATCTGGCCAGAGAAGATTGTCAAAATAATGCTCACATTTCCAAGCATGTTTGAGAAAAAGTTGTTATTTGTTAACGTTATATTTCTTTTCTTTTTGCTCTCGTTTATTTATTTACTTTACTGTGTTAACTTCACTGATTTATTTTATAGGCTGTGTTTACTATTTATACATTTTAAGTATTGTATATTTTCCTATTAACCTAATAAATAAAAAAATAAACTTACATTTAAAAATTTGTTCCTGTTATAATTTCAAGAAAACTACTACTACGTTTTCATTAAACTCCATTTAAGAATTAGCCACACTTTATTCAGTAAACTCACTTGAGACAAGTCCAGGGACACGTCGTCCTCCAAGGAAGTCTCCCTGCTCTTGGAGGACTGCGAGTCCACCACGCGTTTGGGCGACTCGAACGATCTCTTGGTCCTGATGGACTCGGCCGACGGGCGCCTGTGGTACCCGGGCAGGGAGTTGGCTCTGTCGGACCTGCTGAGAAATGGAAGATGCAAGGAGTAATTTCAGAGTCTGATGTCATAATTAGAAACCGTGTTTTTTTATACAACTTAGAATGGCAAACAAGCTAACTGACCACCTGATGGAAAGTTGTAACCGTCGCCTATAGACATGAGTAGTACCATTGTAGTTGTTTGGACGAAATAAGTAACAACCTACTTGATTATATTATTGATTTTCATATAATGAGAGAATGACAGCAGAAATGAATGTGAGAAGTAAACGTCGCTATCATGTCTGTATGTCCAGTGCGAAAGATAGAAAGAGGTGAAATATCTATGTACAATTAAATTAACCTACTTGATGGAAAAGAAAGTAATGATGTTGACAAGTGGCTATGAGATGAATATTTACAATATTTATTTACAGACGCCACACCATGAACATAACAGAGTATACTGTTTCGCCCATGATACCGCCCATGCGTTGCCATTCCTGAGAACTCAGGTGTTATTCCTCCGTACCCTGTAAATTCACGCCATATCCCACCCTTCAAACCGAAACACAGCCATGCAAACACAACTGATTCACGGTAAAAACACGAATGGTACAGAGGTGCCCAAGCAAACGACTTTTGTATAAAGTCTCCCTCTGGTAGTAAAACAAACAAGTTCTGTTCAAACAATCTTTACTTACCTTTTCACACATTGTTTCCCCGTTACAATAAAATCCAGATTCTGAGGCTTCGTCGCTTTTTTCGGTGTGGAATTATTTGAGTTGGACGCAGCGTCTAGTGGCGACTTCTTCTTCCCTTCTTTCTCCTTTTTCACGCTGTTCCGCCTGGACTGCGATGTGGAGTTCCTTCTGGAGCCAGGCCTGCTTCTAGAGGTTTCTGGATCGAATTCCTCCGGCCAGCGGTCGGTCCTTTGCATCGTTCTGGTGAAAACTTTAAATGCAATAAATTCAAATCATCTTTTTTCAAATAGACTCGATTACTTTTTTCTTTTAGACTTTTAAATCGTCATTTTTTATGAATGCAGGGTTTGAAAAGTTTTTATCTGTTGAGAAGATCCCACAAGAAGCTCATCATCATCATCACCATATCAGCCTTTAACTGTCTACTGCTGGACATAAGCCTGCCCCTTGGGAGGGTTCTGGCAGTAGTTACTACGCTTGACAGGCGGATTGGCAACCGCAGTTAGACTTTGGTGATGTTTTAAGAGAGACGCTGCTGCCTGTACCTTGCCCTCCCTCAGTCGCCTCTTGCGACACCCACGGAAAAAGAAGTGGTGACCTATTCTATGCCGGAACCACGCGGCGAGATGTAACTTATATGTTTCCGTTTGGAGATGAAATAAGAGTATGCTTCCAATTATTACCAATATATCAATGGGTTATAATAAAACGGTAACCCCGCCTGCGCTATCGGTATACACTGGCGGGACACCAGTGGAAGATGATAGGTGAAGATGAAAGCAAGTCAGTTGATCCATCGTGGTGAATTCCAAAGAATTAACCACGATAGTTTCTACGGGAAACCGCGTAGAGACTTATCTTATAGGGTATGTTTGATAAATGGATGACAATGGCATGGTAACCGCGCCCGCGCTATCGGTATACACCGGCGGGGCACCAGTGAGGGATGATAGGTGAGGATAAAAAAGCAGGTCAGTTAGCCCATTGTGATGAATACACCTGGAATTCTGCACGATGATTTCAGCACGTAGAGGTCAAACTGACAGGATATATTGACAGAATTGGTAGTTCACATCCCTTCCTCTCCTATAGGGTGTATTTTTTTTATGGGCGAAAATGGAATGGTTACCCCGTCTGCGCTATCGGTATACACCGGCGGGGCACAAGTGAAGGATGATAGGTGAGGATGAAGCAGGTCAGTTAGCCGGTCGTGACGAATTCAACAAGAATGTTTTACGATGGTTTCCAGGGGGAACCACGTGGAGGTCGACCTAATAGGGCATATTGCTAGCAATGGGGCTGTCTTGCTAACATTCTCTTTCCCCCCTAATAGGGTGTATTAGTAGCAATGGTATTGGTAGCTCTCATTATTAACAATTGCTTTACAGCCGCCCATAAACTCCTGTTACAGTAGAGAGATGGGGAAAAGAGATTGTTAGTAATGGGCTCGCGAAACTATCAAATTAAAATGTTAGGTTAAGAGATTAGAGGAATGACACCGCAGAATCGAGCCCATTCAAATACAAGATGGCGTCGAGTATATTCCAGGTCACCGAGCAGGAGTTATATTTAGAGTGGTGTCCCGTCGACGCTTCCAGACTAGACGTGCTAATATCTTAGATTATATACCTAGTCCATCCATAAGTTCTGTTACAAATGGAAATTCATTTTTTTATGAAGTCATTTAATATAACACTAAAATTGATACTTTCATATTTATTAAAGTCTCAACAAAAAATAAAAAATAAAACAATTCGAAATGGCTACCATTGACTTTTATACAGGCCTTTAATCTGTCTGGCCACGAATCCATGGATTTACGCATTGTTTCCAAGGAAAATTTCGCCACTGCTTGCTTTAAAGATTTTTTAAGAGACTCAGTGTCGCTGTGTCGTTTCGAGCAGGCCATGTCCTCTAAAACTGACCATAATTTGAAGTGTAAAGGGCTGAGGTCTGGGCTAGATGAGGGCCAGTCTTAAGCTTTTATAAAGTCCGGAACGTTGGTTTCAAGCCAGGCTTGGGTAGTTCGTGCCTTGTGACCAGATACAGAGGCCTGCTGGAAAGTCCACGGTATATTTTTGAAAAGTGTATTGCTGAGAGTTATCACAACACGATCCAAGACTGTATCTTGATACACTTTGGCTGAAGTTGTCATTCCTTTTTCACAAAAATGTAGTTTTGTGACTCCTAGATAAGACACGCCCCCCAAACCATCATTGACGCGGGATGATGACCACGTTGTACCTTTCCGATCACTTGAGCAGCTTCTTTAGAGCTGTGAGCGTGCACTTTATCATTTTACTTATTGTAGTGTTATTCAGTCGTAAACATTTTTTCAGCGGTAAAGAGGATATTTCTGTGCCTTTCACCTGCGTATCGCGACAGAATGTGTTGTGTGTGTTACTCTTTAATTGTAAAGATTGATTTAGGGCATGTCCTGTATATCTACGATAAGCACCGAGCTTCAGGTCTTGTTTTATAATACGCGACACAGTCCTAACAGAAATCTTCATTTCTCACGACATTTCGCTTCATGTTAAAATATCCTTCCTTTGGACTTACATAGTAGTTTATGACAAACAAAATATTAAGCTTCATTTATCGATTTATAAATAAAAACACGAAATTGAGTGAAAATTTGGACTTTCATTTCATGGTAGACTCCGAAGTCATTTGGTACATCGTGACAAATCTAACAAGAAGTAATCAAGATGAATTCCAGGGGGAACCTCGTGGCAGTCGAGCTGACCGGGGGTATATTGTTGTTAGACCAATGCAGCTGTTAGACTTCAGTACTAACAAATCCTTTCCCCTCAATTTATTGTGGTCTTTGAATCGATGATAATGGAATGGTAACCCCACCTGCGTTAACGGTATACGCTGGCGGGGCACCAGTGAGGGGTGATAGGTGAGAATGAAAGCAGATCAGTTAGCCCATCGTGACGAATTCCACTAGAAGTGACCACGATGGTTTCCACGAAGAACTTCGTAGTAGCCAATCAGATGAGGTATATTGCTAGTTTTTTTTTTAAATGGATGATAATGTATATATATAAGTATTCAGAATAGCCCGTCTAGCAGTTCCTTCAAAAAAAGATTAAAATCATTCTATGTTTCCAATTTAGTTTAAACATAAAAATGATTAGAGGACTGTCATCATTGTGTTCTCTTGTATTCGATATTTATATGTTGTATTTAACGTATATATATATATATATATATATATATATATATATATATATATATATATATATATATATGTGTGTGTGTGTGTGTGTGTGTGTGTGTGTGTATGTATGTGTATGTGTATATATGTATGTAAATATTTATTTAAATTTCTGTCTTGCACTACTACTGCCCACTCACTACTTCCTACGCCACTGTGTTAGGTAGACTGGAAGAGATCTCTTTTAGAGATAAGTTCGCGTTTGCTAACATTGTTATTAACTTATTGTTGTTACTGTATGTTTTAGTGCAATAAAGAATATATATATAATGGAATGGTAACCCCGCCCGCGCTATCCGTATACACCGGCGGGACACCAGTGAAGAATGATAGGTGAGGATGAAATAGGTCAGTTAGCCCATCGTGACGAATTCAACAAGAATTGTTCACGATGGTTTCCAGGGGGAACCACGTGGAGGTTGACCTAATAAGGTATATTGCTAGCAATGGGGCTGTCAAACGCCATTGCTAATAATCCTTTTCCCCCCTATTGCTAGTATTAGAGCTGTTAGACTTAACTAACAATCCCTTTCCCCCATTTTACTGTGGTCGTACCGTGTGCTACAGTTCTTAGTCTTTGCTATTAAGATTTAAAAGGCGCTTATTTTTTCTTTAGCGTAAGCAAGTTATAATATTAAAAAGACAAAATCTCACATAGCTAGAAGAACCGATAACCGATGGGGAAGAAAAATTCTTGAGTGGCGACCCCCAACTAGATGGAGTGACGACCTCAAGTGCATTGCAAGGAGTCAGTGGATGCAGGTGACTCAGGACCGTTCCATACGTTGCTTGTTGCCAGTGACGACTTATGGAAACGTAAAATTTTTTTTATACAACTTAGAATGGCAAACATTTGACGGCCCACCTGATGTAAAGTGGTAACTGTCGCCTATAGACATGAGTAGTACTGTGGACATAACAGAATATACTGTTTCGCCCATGATACCTCCCATGCGTTGTCATTCCTGAGGACTCAGGTGTTACTCCTCTGTACCCTGTAAATTCACGTAACATGGTCCTACACGATTGCCCGTATGCAAAAGCTTCAAGTTAGCGGGCTATGGAGTCTCCTTGCGTGATAGAATCCGAAACGTGGATATCCGCAAAAGAACTAACGTAACCGACATAGCCCGAAGCACACAGAAGTGTCTATGGGCTGGTCACATAGCTCAAAGAACGGACAGATCAATGGGGAAAAAAAGGTTTATTTATTTATTCTTAATTGCACAATAAAACTTTGTACAAATGGCGAGCTTAATGCCATATGGCATTCTCTACCAGCTAACCATTGGGTAAAAACAGAAAGCGTATGAAGGGTAGATTTGGTGGTGCTTGGGTACCTCTGTCCTATTCGTGTTTCAACCGTGAAGCAGTTGTGTTTGCATGGCTGTGTTTCAGTTTGAAGGGTAGGATATGGCGTGAATTTACTGGGTACAGAGAAATAACACCTGAGTCCTCAGGAATGACAACGCATGGGGGGTATCATGGGCGAAACAGTATACTCTGTTATGTCCACGGTACTGCTCATGTATATAGGCGACGGTTACCACTTTCCATCAGGTGGGCCGTCAGCTTGTTTGCCATTCTAAGTTGTATAAAAAAAAAAACATTAAGGCAATACACAATATAAATATAATATACACATAAAGTTCTTGAGTGACGACTCTGTATGGGCAAACGCAGTGTAGGACGACCCCTCATTAGATGGAGTGAAGACCTCAAGTGCATTACAGGAAGTTAGTGGATGCAGGTGATTCAGGACCGTGTCATATGGTCAATGGGGGAGGCTTATGTCCAGCAGTGGAAGGGTAATGGCTGAGGTGATGGTGATTAAGAGGGATTGTTAATAATGAGGTTTAACTGTCCCATTGCTAGCAATATACCTTGTCATGTCGACCTCCACGTGGTTCCCCCTGGAAATCATCGTGCCGAAGTCCAGGTGTATTTTTTTTATAGGCCATTCTAAGTTGTATAAAAAAAAGGGGAAGGCCTGTGTCTAGCAGTGGACAGACAATGGCTGAAATGGTGATGAGGACTTCATACCTATATTAATTCACACAAGCAAAGCCATAGTACATAGCTAGTTATAAATACTTACAATACAAGTCACTTACATGTAACGTCCACCAACCAACTATCCCACTATGTTCACATAAAACGTTGTTTGTATATATGTCCTTGTTTAAACTGCGCCACACACTGTTCTACTGAACTGGCAACACCGTAATCCTGTGACACGCATGGTTAGATACGACCAGGCGCACGCTGACGAGCGGAGCGGTAAGCGGAGCGATAAGCGAAACGTTTTATATTATTATTAGTATTGATAAATAATTCTTGTAAAAAGTAATGTACAGTGGTACCCGGCACTTTGGTTGTTTTGTTAAGGGAGGGACTGGCTGAAAACCAGCGCTATGCAGCTGTTCACATTGCGCTGGGACACTCGCAGCATCCGCTGAGCCGGTTCCTTTTGCCGGGTGTGGGACACTTTTTGTATATGTTATTTATATTGTAATTGTATGGTAATAAATGTTTCTATTCTATTCTTCTATTCTTTTATTTATTTATTGAAATAACTTTATCAGTCAAATAAACATATGGTATTGAAGACGGACTAAAGACGGTCCTATTTGTTCTTTTTTGGAGAAATCGTTTAAAAACTTATAAAAAATATGGTCCAATTATGGCGAAATATTTGGATCTACTATGTTTTATTTATTAAAACTTTTATACTGGTTGTTTAATTAGAATTATTATTTTGTTTAATTCCGCTACCATCAGTATGCGTGCTATTGCCAACACTCGAATATTTACCACTATTAATACCAGAAGCTCTACAACCTTCCATATTAGCCATCAAACTCTGACTGCCATTTTGTCCACGCACGTTTTGCGATGCGTATTTCACTTCCAAGCGAGACATCTCCGAACAAATTAATAGATCGTTACTCGGAGCCTAGTGTTAACTGTGCGACAACCAAATTGCGAACTTCGTAGTTTGGATGACGAAGTGGTGCGGGGGATATAGCTGAAATATGAAATTCAGTAAAATAAAAACTGTCTTTGACGGACGATAATAGAATAGTAACCCCGCTTACGATATCGGTATACGCTGGCGGGGCACCAGTGAGAGATGATACGTGATGGTGAAAGCAAGTCAGTTGGTACATTGTCGTACACTCACCAGGAATTAATTTTATTTATTTATTTTTTACAACACAGAGGGCAAACGAGCATGCGGCTCAACTGATGGTAAGTGACTACCGCCGCCCATGATCACCCACAACACCAAAGGCATTACAGGTGTGCTGCCTGCCTTTTAAAAAGGAATATGCTCTTTTCTTGAAGGTTACGATGTCGTATCGGTTCGGAAATACTGCTGTTGGAAGTTGATTCCAAAGAATGGTTGTACGTGGAAGAAAGTGCCTTGAAAAACGCACGGTGGCATTTATTTATTTATCGTATACTTTATTGTACACAAAAATTACATACTTATACTTTTTTTTTTATACAAATTAGAATAGTAAACAAGCTGATGGCCCACCTGATGAACAGTGGTAACCGTCGCCTATAGACATGAGCAGTACCATGGACATAACAGAGTGTACTGTTTCGCCCATGATACCCCCCCCCCCCATGCGTTGCCATTCCTGAGGACTCAGGTGTTATTCCTCTGTACCCTGTAAATTCACGCCACATCCCACCCTTCAAACCGAAACACAGTCATGTAAACAGAACTGCTTCACGGTAGAAACACGAATGGGGCAGAGGTACCCAAGCAATCGACTTTTGTACAAAGTCTCCCTCTGGTATAAACTATATTAAATGAAGATGTAAAACAGGCGAGCTTATAATCACGATAGTTTCTATGGGGGCACGTATTTAACAGGTTAAACTGCTAATTCCCTCCCCATCAGTCGATATTTTCAAAATCGCTAATCGCTCCACTGATCGCTCCGCCTATCGCTCCGCTCCTGCAATGGCGTCTCTGGTTTAATTAAGGGCGGTATCGGCGCGGGGTGGGCACTCGCGCATGCAACAGGTCTCCGCAAACCATAGAGTTGCGTTTGTTCTATATATTTTTTTTTTTTATTATAGCTAAATGAGTAGGCATATATGTTTTACATTATTACATGTATCTTGTATATTTAAGAAATAATAGAATTTCATCGCACCTCCGATCAAACTGTTTATAATTACTCCTCTCCATCCAAAGGTTGCCTGTGTTAAATATTTATTTTTAATTATATTAATTTTCTTAAACATCTTGTGTTAAAACGTGTACCTACATTTATCAATAAAAATCAGACTAACTACTTTAAATATAATAAAACGTTAAAATTGTTATTATACCAAATTTGGTAATAAAATATTCTTGTAATATATATAGAACACTAATTTATATTTTAATTAATTTTATAATTATTTATTGTCATGATACTTGAATAAAAAGTAATGAAATTGTAAGAACACGTGGTCTCGCTGACTTGTTCACTCGAATTCGGCCGTGTGGATATAAAAGATTGTTATTCGGGTGGGGAGACACTTCTTGTCCAACCGTTGAACAGAGCGGAGCTCCCTGATGTATCAAGAGTGAACAAGTATAGTGAACCACGTGGTCATTATATAAAATATATCACAATTATTGTTGGTGGAAGTCCTAAAGGAGCTATATTTAAATAAGTGTCAATGGACTAACAGAAGTTGGGTATTTATGTTATATTATTTGTTATATATCAAATATAAAGTAAAATAAGTAAATATATGATTTAATAGTATGATATCCCCACATATAATTATATATATCTATATTAAATATTATAATAAATTTCCTTTTTCTAACACCTGCAAGTGATCGCTCTTAGCGATAAGGTCGCCCATTCTTTTCTCACTGTGATTATTTCTTGTAATTGTTTGTATCTATAATAAGTTTACTATTGTAATCTTATGGAGGGAACAATAAAGAGTATCTATCTATCTATCTATTATCTATTCTACTGTTTAAATATATAAGCAATGCTATGTCAACAGTTCTCCCTGTGCCGGTAGCTCCCTCGTGTGTGCAGTTCTATAGCCTGCCCTTATTATAATATTATATATAGAGGTGTTTTATTATATATATAAGACAGATCATATTGCTAGAAATGGGGACAATCGTCCCCATTACAATCTCTTCTGCTAGGAATTAACCGTAATAGTTACTGTGCTGTCCTCCTCGTATGGTAGGTAGGTGTAGGAAATAATAAACAATAATATGTCACAATGCGACTCACACGACCACCCGCCCGGACGTCACCCAGAGGAGTGGCAGGAGCGGGGGGACTTGCAGTCTCAACTTTAATGAGTACATCACATCTCTCCCTTTTCAAAATATTTTAAAATTAATAATAGAATATGAATATTTTTACTCTAGGAAACTTAATTATTATTTTTTAAGCATTTTTGAATAGTCATATTTTTTATAAATCTACCGCCCATTCGGAATGCAATTTCAGCTAAGAAGAACGGGCAAGAAACTTAGCTGTTGCTTTTTTCAAACAAAGTTGAGTTTACAACAAAATGTGAAAGGATACAATTACTCACAAATTTCATATAGATACAACTACAACAATATAGTTTTACATTACAGTCATAGGTAACTAAAATAATATCATGATATTACCATATATATTATGTTACAAAATATAACTTAGGCAACTAAATATAATAAGACTGGTTTGTATAAAAATAACTATATGACTATTTCCTCTCGAAGTCCATCGAGATCTTTCTTTTCATCATCCTTATAATTTCTTACTGATCTTCCACCTTCTTAAGTATATTATTGTGTATATTTCATCTTAATTCTTGTCCCATAATTTCTTCTAGATATAGCGCCAATAAGTATATGTATACAGGGATTGAAGTATCGCATATATATTTTCTTTAATTATATTCCGAATACACTTTCTCCTATTTTCAATATCTATGTCACTATATCTTTCCCTTCCAATTTTAAAATGTTCTTTTATTGATTTGTCTCTGCCATTCTAAATAAATCTCATTATTCTTAGCATGTACAATAGAAGAGATTTTATCTCTAATGACAAATCAATAATGTGGCATGATATTGTAACTTATGAGGTATAGCAGGAGTTTATCCCTCCAGTCAGATTTTGGGTTTTAATTTATTTGTACACGTATTATAATGTCACATTTTTGTATTCTACTTGCTTCGTTCTACTGCGGTCGATATGGTGTCGAATAGTATAGTTTAATACCAAATTCTAAGCAGTTATCCAATGTTGTGCTGAATAAAGTGTCAAGTCTTGTAAAATTTCTTTTATTTATGTACTTTTAAGAAGATTTATGGTCTTATACTAAGTATATCAGAATTCCAATTAATAATTCCTACAATACATATACTGACAATATTAGAGACGTTACTATTTATAATCTCAATATTTACATAAGTATGTCACATTTATTATAGTTTAGACATCGATTAATTTTAGGAATGTTACATAATATATTGTTTTAGATCAGATGTAATGTAGACAAAATTTTATTTCTTCATGAACATTGATTACAACATCTATTATATGTACCGAGACTGGTATCAATCCTTTGTACCTTGATACATAATCTACTGTTTATGGCAACAGTGCCGGGGTGCCAGAATAATTATCATGAGTCGTAGCGAATGCTCGTCTACGCTATCTCAAATGAAATAAAAATAGAAAACCATTAATAAAGGACTCAGAATTCGTATTTAAAGAGTTTGTAATGATTGACTTTAAGGTTCAGTTTTCCTGGGAGCATCTAACTACTAATTGCATGGCTTATAAAACTTAAGTGTCCACAATTTACTAACTCTTTTTGCTTTGAAATTACGAATTACTGTAAATGTTTGCTTTTCTTTCCAGAACTCTGAATACAGTATATTTAGCGAGCTTACGCCTTAACATTTTACGTATTTGTTCAGTCATTGTAGCCAAATTTTGAGTCCATTTTCTTTTATTGTGTACCAATAAACTGATAAAGATAGATAAGTGTGACTGTGTACAACTTGTAATTTAAGATATTGATAATATACAGTTATATACATATATCTAAAATATTTACGCATAAAATCTAAATATTATTATAACACATTATCATATTTATTTCTCAAAATAGGTTACTAGTTTTATAACTTTAAAATTTTCCAAAAAATTGGT